AGGTGATGTGAAACAGGTAATCCTGTCAGTGTTTAAGTGGATTTTGATTGTTTCCTACTGGGTTTCAAGTAAGTCGTTGCATAGAATGAATGAACTCATGGACTGAATGTTGTACAATATCTTATACTAAGTCTAGATGGTTCTATGACTGACACCTTGGATGAGGATCAACTTGATTAATGGGGTCACAACTGTCAACAATTTATGTGCAGATTCAAGCTAATGGATAACAGAGTAATCCACAGGACTAAGTGCAAAGTTTAAAAACAAGCACTCTATAAAACTTGACTATTTATGCAGACAATTTAGGGAGATTACATGGGAAGGTTGCACAAACATGTTTCCCATAGATCACAATGAGCCACTCATGAATATTTTTATAATGGGACTATCAAGCAATATGGGTCTGACAGTTATATCATCTCATAACATAAAGACTTAAAGAAGCAATTTCAATTGTAATGTTGTTTTAAATGGTTCACATGGAACTGTTGCCTACAGCAGTGAAATAAACCAGAAGCAGTGGCAACACTATTTGTAGACTAACCTCTGAGACAACATCCAGGGTAAATGAAAATTCCCAAGCACAACATAAGTGACAACCACCAGTTCTAATGCAGCATAGGCACCATGGTCCTCTATGATATAGCAGAACTTCCCAGTCCAGATGCCATAGCTGAACTGGAATTGAGAAGGAAGGGGCCACTTCTTCAATTGTGGCTTACCTTGTAACTGGTTTCCCAAATGTCCATTCTCTCATTCTAGAGAGAAGTACCATTTAGACTGATACCATAATACATGCAGGATGATTAATGACAAGCTATGAATCCAGTATTGCATCTAGTTTGACCTAGCAAGACCCGAGCTGGATCTTGTCACCAACCTAGGTGATTGTAGCAGTCAGTTCATATGAAATATCATGGAGATTTAGAGGATCTTTGACTGGGAATCACATAGCTTGTGCTAATAATGATATATGGATGCAAGGTTAAATTTTAGTGGTACAGCCAGAAACCTAATTTCATGTACAAAATCACCACTTCAGCCATTTAGCACCAGCTTTGTCCTAGCAAATAGGCAAAAAGCTAGACAAAAGTGGAGAAGTATGTTTTAAATTTCATCTTGCCAATGTCATTCACTGAGCATAAATAGTTATCTCATATCTCAGTTCAGAAATTCATATTTTATTAATCAAATTTGGGCAAAAAACAGTGGACTGTGCCTGTGTACATAAAAAAAGAATGTGGTACTTAACCTGAAGGTGCAAACGGTATACCATAGTGCACTACATACACAGTCTACCGTATTGTTGCCATCTGCTGCAAATATAGAACCAACACATAAAACACTACCTACAGAAAGCAGGCTGAACAGTGAGCTACCTGTCTAATTGCAGGTGTTGCAACAGTACTAGTCTGTAACTACAGGACTAATCATTGGCACTGTGAAACAGGCAGAAAAGGCAAAAACAAGTTGCTAGTGTCACAACTACTGTACCAGATCCAAGATATGATAGATAAATGTACTTCTCTACACCTTGGGGAATGGTAGGAAATCAGTTTTTTCATGATCTACTGTTATATTTGATAGCCAGTGTAGGTTATAGAACTTGTCATTTGGCAGCCTATGGGGTTTATGGTACAGTACCAGCAATCCATCATGCATTTCTTCACTTGCAAATAGAAATGTTCAGTGTCTATGTGCAACATAGTACAAAACTTGTAACAAGATGAAAATAAGAATATCATTCTCTGAGGTCTTTCCCTACAAATTTCCACAAGACTACTAAAACTATTGACTTTTGTTAATGAAAATAAATATAATTTCATGACATTGGTTACAAATCAGAAAAGTACAAAACATAACAGTGACTAGCAGGATTAATATTAAGTACAGGTTAACATAAGTTATGTATGCACAGTTCTGGGGATTGAGTTTATAATTTCAAATGCATACAACTATACAATGGATATAAATTTATCATTATTTTGTACACAACAATATTCCAGAGCAATGACAGCAAAGAATTATTATTTTGAATCATTAAAATGCTGGTTTGACAATCTCTATCATTATTGTGTTTATTTGTCATTGCACATTATGAAGACTATTTTGTGATTGTAGCCAATTTATAAATAATTGAGAAAAAGGTGTATTAATTATTCTATATGATCTAAAGTACAAAGTAGAAGAAAATACACACATATGTGTTGTATGTTTTTGTTTTGTTACCTGAAATAAATGATTTATACATGCAAGTTTTAATTCTAATTTATTGAAAATTGATTAGTACACTAAAAAATTTTAATTTATCGTGATTTGAGGGTCACTGGTTTGAACGCTAAATGCCATCATATATGTTTCCTCTTTCAGCCACGAAAGAGTTATATTTGTTTATTTTTTAGTTATACCAAAGCATATAGGGCTATTTGCCACTGTCCCTAATTTTGAACTGCAAACTAGATGGAAGGTAACCAGCCTCCAACTCTCGGTCTACTCTTCACCAATGAAAAGGATGGACCATTACATTATAGAACCTGCTAGCCTGCATGGTCCAGTGGTTGCCTTTTGAATTAAGGGTCATGGGTTTGACACTGTAACACTAAACAGGTTCTCCCTTTCAGCCATTGGGGGCATTGTAATGTCACAATCAATACCACTGTAAGTTGGTAAAAAGAGCAGTTGAAGAGTTAGCAGTAGGTGGGTCCTTATCCAAGGTAAGGATATTGGGTCACAAGATACTGAGCCCACAAACAAGACTTCCATGACAAGAATGAAAGCATTCAGCTTGACCAGCTGAGTTAAGAGTTTCTGATAAATTCCAATGGCAATATCTATGGAATCCTCCATAAACACATTGACTAATTCTTATCTAACACCTATTCTCACTTTGCAAGACAAGGAGTACAAGTACTCAGGCCAACTGAAGAAATGCAGCGTGTTTATATAAAGTTGGAGACATCCATCAGTACCTCAAGGAGGTACACAAGGTTCTCTACCTTGGTGCAATCTTCCTGAAGCTCTCCTTGCCTGGCAAATTAAATCTGAAAAACAAATGGATGTCAGCCAAAGGATTAGCAACCACCAGGAAAACTAAAGCACCTGTTGTCCCAGAGTTACAGATACCCACACCTGAATACATGGATCTGGCAACAGTAGATCAATAGTCACAACACTGAAAAGACCACACCATGCAGTGAACAGAGGCTTTGTTGCTGAAATAACATGTTGGGGACAAACTCAGAGGCTCTCTGTTTAAATTCGATGTAGCACACTGAAACTTGTCTAATTTTGTCCTTGATTATAAATGTCAAAATATGATGTTCAGTTATTTGTTTTAGATTTTGTTTGGAACTTTGTAATGTTTTTGTGTTTAAATTTTGATCTTTTAGTGTTTTAATTACAATTTTGAATTTATAATGTGTTTTATTTTGTAATATGTGATCAGCAAGCTGTGCTTCTTATTATTATATTTTGATTTAAATTGAATGTTATTTTGTGGTCTTTATTTTCTATTCTGACTATGTAAATGTATTATAATTTCAATTTATCCAAATTGAGTTTTTATTATACAAGTCCTGCATTTCACCATAATCTAAATTTTTTATTGTCATCATGTTTTTTCCAACTGATTTGAGTTGTCTTTATTTTTAAATCATGATTTTGATTTCATTCTTATGAGCTGCTTTTGTTCACTGAGTTTCATTTATTTAACTCTTAATTTGACTTAACTAATTGCTGAAGTTTTTGTGTAATCCTCTGTTGTCTTCATACTCTGTAATCTGTAGTGTCATGATGTCTTGCATGCAACTCACCTGACAGAGATGGTTACTGCATATTACAAACTATACTTAACTTGTCAATTTGGACAGTAGTGTTTAATTTTAATGTTTTACTATAGTATAGTATAGAATTTATCTGTAGTACAGGGCTCAAAATGAATGATAGCAAATTGTTGGTTAGTGTTGTAGTCCTGCTAGTAAAACTTAGAAGACATTAGAAAAAAATTGTACACAACTGGTGCTTGTAGAATTAAACTCTAAAAGAACTGTAAATACAACTGATGAGTCCAAATACCACCAACTCTATTCAATTACTGCCTTAGAAGAAGAATACATAGAGCATGACACACTAGAGTTGATGCTAAATTCACCTAGGTCTATTTCGGTTTGATTGAATAATTTTAATTCAGTTAACTTCATCAAAGAGAAAGATTTCACACACACAGTATTAAAGGAATGAAAATTGGAATATAATGATTATAATAGTACAGTCGTTATTTAGGCAATCCATAGCCTGAAATCTTCTATACAGGTTGAAACATTTTACTTAACATTTGGAGCACAGTTGTATAGCATCATTTGATTGACATTTTATCTGTGAATCTACTAAAACAACTTAGGTTAAATTGGTGAAACATATTTTCATCAACTTCAAATATATATTCATTCATTAAGCACTACATAAACAAACCTTTTCATCTATAATTGGTATGCTGATCTCTACATACAACATTAATCTGACACCAGCTGATTCAAACACCTCAATCATTAAGGTACGCCAAGAATTTAAACTTCAGGTCAGGTAAATAAGAAACTTGTTAAAAACAGAATACTAGCCTAATATTTGGTCTACCCTAATAGGATAATACGAACAGGACAATGATGTATCTCTATAGTAGTGTTCCAATAAATACTTTGAGCTTTAATGTTTCACTGCTCTACTCACCACTGTTTTGGCAGGCTACGTATCTGATAATGACATTAGATATTTATTACACCTTTCAACACAAAATGTTTATTTTTCACCACAATGATATATTATACATGGCTTTAAGGTAGTCTTTCCCTCTACTAACATTACTACAAGTTGCACACTGTATTCCATTTCTACACCTCACATAAAATTTACATATTATTAAACTAGTAACTACCAACACCATACAGGGTGTACCATATATACTAAAAATGTTGAATAATAAATATAAAATGTTGTTATACCATCATATATAGATTACCATCTGCTACAATGCTAGGCTAGGTGACACCCAACATCTGACACTCCATGATGGCTGTCCCATCCATTTGTCTATATCCAGCCCTGAATAGTCATCAAGCCCTCTCTGTTTGAAAAATAACATTACCTAATTTGCAGGCAACTTCTATCCTGGCAAATCTTAAATTAAATCTACATTTCCTAGTCCTATCACTCTTACCATTAAACACAAAAATGATGATGCACAAATCTTATCAATTCCCTTAATAACCTTAAATACCTCAATAATATCCCCCTAATTCTTCTTTTTCAAAAGAATACAATTTCAGAGACTAACTATGTCCTCATATGAAATCCTTTCCATCCTAGTATCCCTTATCTAAACCCTTCCCAACAATTAAATGTCCTTCTTAAGGTAAAGAGCTCAAGACTGAGCACATACTCCATACATGACCTATGCAATGTTATGATAACCTATTTAGATCTGTATTCACTATTTCTGTATAGGCAACTCAAAAACCTATTTGCTCTACCACTAGCAATGGCACACTGTTTGGATAGCTTAGAAGACTGATCAACCAGAACACCAAGATCCTCATATACCCAACACTATTAAGCTTATTCACATCCAAATTATAATTATAATTTAAATTATGATAACCCACATGCAGTTCCTTGCATTTATTATAATTATTCACCAAATCCTTTTGTGAATACGGACATCTTCTCACAGCCAGCAACACCAAAGACCTTAATATTCTCAGCAAATTTAAGAAATGTATTGATCATTACTTTATCTATATCATAGAAGTAAATAAAAATGAGCAAAGGTCTCAACACTGAGCCTTGAGGCACCCCACTTGTAACATTAATCCAGTTTGACTGAACCCCATAATGATTTCTATGGGTGTGGGAGCTAAGTTGCCTCATTGGATCAAACATAGCTGGGGAAGAAAGCAGAGGGTTGTTAGAATTCTTAACAAACCTTTTATGCAGTACCTTATCCAAAACTTTCTTAAAATCAAGACATGCCCAATCCACACTTTACCCTCATCAACATGAGCAGTAACCTCTTAAAAGAATGTCAAAAATTAGCAAGACAAGATTCCCCCTAGTGAAACCATGTTGATTATCCAACAAAACTGTAAAATTTGTTAAATGCCTTTACAAAGAATTTTTATTAAACTTTCAAAAACTTTTCCTACTGATCTAAAGCTAATAAGCATATAATTATATGGACAATTTTTGTCACCTCCCTTAAAAAATAAATATATAAAAAAAAGAAGATTGAGTAACAATAGCCATCTTCCAATCTTCTAGCACCTATCCACTATTCAAGGACTTGCAAAAAATATTAGCAAGTGGCTCACATATCCAATCCTTAACCTCCTTCAATACCCTTGCTAACATCTCTCAAAGGCACTACTCCCATCCTAACATTCTGCTTACCCTTAATGTATTTAAAGAAATCCTTTTTTCAATTTTGACAGCTTAATGTCCTGTTTGACTAACTCTCTAAATCTTCTACAGTCTTCCATCATTTAAGTCAATTTACACTTTATGATGATTTAGTTCTGTAACACAGTGACTAGGTAGTCTAAAATAGCCTTGACTAGCTCAATGAGTAATTTTGGGAGTTGTTAATTAACACAAAGATGGGTTACACAAGACAATTCATAAATACCAGATAAGTGTCATAAGCATAAGTAGCAAATCAAGTCAGGTACTGATAGATTGTCACTAATGAAAAACTACTAACAAAAACTACTCTTTGTTTGGCAATGTAGTATTTCTCTATCACAGCTCAGTCAAAGTGTCACATGTTTACAATAATTAACATAACACTAGGTCACAAGTCAATGAATAATAAATACCTTGTACAATATTATGTGGCTGTTCAGTTACATTATGCACAGTAGGTTAAGCTTAAACATGATAATTGCACAAAACCCAAGTAGGAAATTTGTAAACTATTAATATAAGTTACACGTGTTTAATGAATGTGCCAAAAGTTGACTACATTTAAAGGAAGAAATATGTTAACTTCATTCCTCACAACTTTTTAAACTTCTACTGGTTTTCTTTGATTTTATCTTTAATACTTTTAGTGAATCACCCTGCTTTTTGTTTTTTTTTATGCATGTCTATCTTGAATGAAATCTGTAACCCAAATTTTATTATTCCTGATCTTCTTATAAAGTAAAACATCAAATCTAACAGAATAATCATTACTTACACCCAGATATTTTCCAATATCCACAATTTCAAACATTCCTGTATTAGAAGTCAGCAATAAATTTACAATATCATCTTTTCTAGTAAGTCCCATGACCAATTAATGAAAAAACCCATCCTAAATGGTTTCTAAAAACCCAACTTTCTCGGTTTGACTCTAAAATCTCCCAGTCTATATGCCTGAAATTAAAATTCCCATAATCATAACCTCATTAATAGCCATAATCTTAATCTTACTGTTAAGTTTCTCATTAATTTTATCAGTCTTATCTAGTGGTCTGTAACAAAATCTATATGAAATCCTTTTAACCATATGTCCAAAAACTTTATCAGCCCCCTGTACTTATCAATTAGCTTCTCTACCCTTGCATTCCCTACATTATTAGCCCCTATGTGCACAACAAAAACTGTATCACTGTTAGCACCCTTTACAATCCTACTTGCTCTGTCAGTTGTCTTTCACCTCAGAGCCTGGATAGCATAATATTAATTTTTACCCTATAGGCCTTACAAAGGAATTGCCTACAACTATACTATGGCCTCTTTAAACTTCGCACTATTATCTCTTACTGTCCAAACGCTTTTCTTTCTCTGCTTCAGTTCCATCTTCTTCATTAGCTAATGGCAGAAACCTGTTAGTGTTACTTAATACTTTCTCCATAGACTTAAAAGTTAAATGCATTATTCTTAAGTCGTCTTGCCATATTATCATTTTTATCTTACTAAAATTCCTGCTTATTTATTGAAACCTTTCCACCTAAAAGCTAAGGTTCTTCTCTAAGCACTGTTGCCATTCCCACAACTTGCACTTCTCTTTCTGAATCTCAGCAACTATTATTAATTAATACATCCTCAACATTCTCCTCTAACCTGAAAACATATTATACATCCTCACTAGCTAACATCTCTAAAAGTGCATGTTAACCTAGAATTAACCTCCTTTGACTTGCAAGTTGTAATCAATATTCCTGTAGATATAACCCCTAACTCCTATTTGCTTTCCCACTGGCAACAATTAACACACACACACTTCGTGGTAGCTTAAAAAACTGATCTATTAAACTACTAAGATCTTTTTCTTCCATAACATTACCAAACTGATTTGCATCAAGGTGGAAATTACAGTTTAAGATAGCCCACATGCATTAATTTTTTTAGTATAATTAAATGCCATCTACAATCTATTTACCTAGTTTATCAATTGATCCAAACCCTTCTGTAAAACAGCAACCTTCTAACACAGTCACAGCTAACTATACCCAAACTTTCAGTTTAATATCATCAGTAAAGTTGGCCAATCTGTTAACCATTAGCTTTTCATTATCAATAACATCAATGTATGTCAAAATGATTAAGGGTCCAATTACAAATCCTGAAATACCCCACTGGTAAATCCAATCCAATTTGATTGAACCCCATTTATTACAATACAACCCTCCCCTTTCTCTCCTCACTCACATAAATAATTTTCTTTATTACTAAGTACTTTACTAGTCTTATAAGTGGCACTTTGTCAAAAATATTTCAAAACTAATTAACTTTAAAAAAACTGCTACTAGTAGTACTTAAAAGTACAACTACAATAGCTTACGAAGGGGGAGTGTATTATTTCCTGAAAAATAAAAGGTGGTTTAAATAAGTAAGCCAGCCTCCTTTATGCTATGTATGTTTGTAATCATAATATAAATGACACAATATGTGCATTTCAAATAATCATTATGTCCTTCGACGTTCAAGTTCAAAGCTACTTCCGTTAACCACTGTTATCTGCCCGTAAGAAAAAATAATAAAATATTATTGGTAGCTTCATGAAATCTAAATGCCATCTGCAATATGAATATGGTTATCCAACTATGCAACCAATCTTTCTTTGTAAAAAAAAATAAATATTATTCCAATTACAAACAGCCAGACCAAGATTGATTTTATATCATCAACAAATTTAACTAATTTTCCGACAATGCTTCTATTAAAAAGAAATTGGTATACATGAATTTTTAGAAAATTTGATTTTGATAGTGTCTCATAAAATTAAATGATCGACATAGAAGTACCAGTTCGCTGAATTTGGCTACAAGTTCCTGTTTCTGTGTTCAAAACTATATAGCTATGAAAAGCAAAAAACGAAATAAAACATACGTTACAAATATGTTTCGTCTATTGTATTTTTGAAATCAAACAAAATGTTTGGATCTGTTATAAGAGGTCTCTCACTAGGAGTATCAAAGCCATTAGCTCCAATATGTTGTCGAAAGTAAAATTTCTAGAAAAATTCTTGCACTTTCGATATACATGCATATCATTTGTTTTTACCTGCTTTGTCAATCTATCTATTTTTTTAAAAAAGGTTGTTTAGCTTCCATGCTGTAACGACGGCAACAAGTGGTCCACAAAGCCGTTGAGATTGCCTCGTTGTAGTTGCTTTATTTCTTTGTTCTCTATAATAGGTAATGTCTATTATGCCCGAGATATCGTAGTAATATATAGCATCCGGGTTGAACAGATTAGCACTTTAATATCCTTTGTTGGCAGGGTTGACTTTGACTAAATGTAACAGCTAGCTGTCCAATGCTGTGAGAGAATAAATGGCACGAGATGACGCTGTCGTCTGAACAAAGAAAGCAAATTTACTTTCAATTATGGTGCGCTTTCTTAAAGTCACTTCTAATAGGAGATTGACGAGTAAATACTCATTTCAAAAACACCGTGTTTTAATCTCGAGAGAAAGAAAGAAAGTTGTAGAGATAAATACACTCCATTATATTTGTCTGCACGAGTATACACATTCTGTGCTTTCTGTTTATGTGTCACAATAGATATTTGTTAATTTATTTACATTTGTCCAGATTCATTATTTTACACTTAAAGAAACTCAGTCAAAATATATACTGTTCAAGATTCTTCTTATTTGTTAATCCAATTTGTTGTTATTTGCAGGCTTGCCTATCTGATACTTGTAGGGAAATCGACTTTACCTGGTAATACTACACCAATAATTATTGTCATCATTATTATTATCATTTGTTATTATCATTATACTTTATTATTGTCATCATTATTATTATCATCATTATTATTATCATTTGTTATTATCATTATCATTTATTATTATCATCATTATTATTATCATTTGTTATTATCATTATAATTTATTATTGTCATCATTATTATTATCATTTGTTATTATCATTATTATTATTATCATCATTATTATTATTATCATTATCATTTATTATTATCATCATTATTATTATCATTATCATTTATTATTATCATCATTATTATTATCATT